CACCCAACGCACCAGATGCCGCTACTTCGTCTGGAGGACCCTGGGCGATGATTTTACCGTTATCAAGAGCAATGACATGGGCTGCTTCGAACACGGTTAAAGCAACATTGTGTGTTACCAGAACACAAGTCCGGTTCATCATCAAGGGACCGGTCAAGGCCTGGCGGAAGATGTGCTTAGCGGTGTGCGAGTCAACTGCACTCAAACAATCATCCAGAAGCAAGTGACGAGCTCTGCTGTACACAGCGCGCGCAAGCGATATTCTCTGTTTCTGGCCTCCCGAAAGACTAATGCCCTTTTCTCCCACAAGGGTCTGGTCGCCTGCATCGAGAATTGACAGGTCCCGCTCCAAGGCACAGGCCTTGATGACAGCATTATACCGACGTTGATCAAAGGGGGAGGCAAACACAATGTTATCCTTGACAGTAGCATTCACGAGCCACGCTTCCTGTGCGCAGTAGGCAACGCTTTCGATGAGACCTGTCTGAGGATCAAGTGGGAGTTCCGAGCGGTTAGCCGTGCCTCCAGGCAAGTGAACCTTTCCTTGCAGAAGCTTCATTTCGCCAAGAAGCGCCATAAGCAGCGACGTCTTTCCAGAGCCAGTCGGGCCAGTAATCAGATTGAGTTTGCCAATCTGGAAGTCCACGTCCATATTGATCAGACGGAAACCATCGGCAACCTCGTCTGACGGATCATCCTTGTACTGACCCTGGGCAGATCCCCAGGTAAGGGTAGCATTTTCCAGTGCGATCTTGGGCGGTTGTCCATCAGACTCCTCCTCCTCGAGTTGACGGTACTTCTGAGTCTCTTCTTCATTCAAATAAGTGTCAACACGATCAAGGGAGACTTTGGACTCTTGAACGTGAGCCACCATATCGGCCAACTGGTCGAGAGGAACGCGGAGCAAAGAGAACATCGACAGGGCCGGGAATGCGATCGACGGGGTCAACTTCTTTCCCTCCACCACTGTATACAAGAAGAATGAGGCGAACGTGATAAGGATGGGCGTGCCATACCAGACGGTTGCCGCCGTAGACCAGATGATGTACCGAAAACGCAAAGCCTTCAACTCCGCCTTTCGCTTCTCGTTGACGATGTCCTCAAAACGCTGCTCCCAGGCGAAATATTTGATGATTCGAATATTTTGGAGGATCTCATTAGTGCTATGAATCCGAGCATCGGTCCCCTTCAGGATCCGATTCTGAACCTTCGTAAACTGTTTGGCGATCGTAAGGTTGATAGGCAACATAAAGACCATGATGACTATTCCAGCAAACGAGCTGAATCCCAGGAGGCGGTACAGAAGTGTTACAGCAATGATGATCTGCACCGGCACACTGGCCCACAAAAAGTGCAGGTAGGCGCCGACTTCGCTAACTTTGAAAGAGTCAATCGCCATCAAATTGATGATAGTACCAATGTTAGCCATGTGTTCTTTGTCCTCCTGGTCATCTTCCGACTTCTTCGCCTTTGCGTTATTTGTCTCGGGGTCGGTTGTTGCCTTCTTGTTCTTCCGACCGAACGAGAAGAAACCGCCTTTCTTTTGATCCTTCGCAGGCTCTTCTGGCTGCTTCTTTGCGGATTCTACAGACGACCCTGCTTTCCGCCGGAGGGCCTTCGCGTAAATTTCGCCAATGATGATAGCCCGAAGTTTGACACCCAGCTTGCGTCCGATCCAGAGAGCCTGACCATCAGCGATACCTTGGATAGCCCCAGAGCAGAACAGTAAGATAGCATAGAGCCACGCAGCGTTTGCAGTCGACGACCTTGGATCCTCCACATACTGCAGGAGTACGCGGAGAAGGATTGTAGGCAGGTAGGTGAATAGGTTCGAAAAGATCGTCCAGGCACCTTGGAGAAGGAGGGTACCGTAGAAGTACCGACATAATTTCCACACCAGTGAGCCCTGGTAATTCCTGCGGCGGAAGTCTTCCAACACTGTGGCTGCTTTCTGAGACGCTGTCAGATCCCAGACATCGTCGAGCTCCAACGGCTGTCTGTAGCCCTTGAGAATGAGAGGATCCAGCCAAGCAAAAGTAGCCAGCGAGAACAAGCTGGCTGTGGGATGCCTCGCAGGCTCCAGACCCTCATCATGCGATACCAAAACCACTTTGTTTCCTCTACGGGTAGTGACCGCGATGAGCAAAAGCAAAGTGGACAAGGCAAACTCAATGGAGCTGAAGATCACAGCGCGATTCGACAAGGGGTGGATAACGGCGGAGCGAAACACGAAGACGGTGAATATCCATTGCAGTCCGTACAACGATGCCGTATGGTTCCATATCCTGGGAGATGAATGGAGGTCGAATGTCGAAAGTAACAATCGAACCAATGCCAGGAACAATATGTAACCCCAGGAAACAAGCTTGGCGATGGCGGGAAGAGTACCCTGGCGACCCCAAACGCCCGTGGAAAGGACAGCCACGAAGACGGCCACTTCTCCTACGAGCGCAAGGATCTCCAGCGTTAAAGTTGCGATTTCTCCACGAGGACGATCAACTTCGAATGTCGGTAACTCGGACTGTGCCGCTTTGCTGAGCATTAGGTCGCTTTCCTCCCCTTCATCATCCAAGGTTGCAACTTGCGAGTCGCCTTCAACCGCATTGTGATCTAGTAACTTGTAGGAGGCGCTTTTTCGAGAAACGGTGCATTGGTATGCGACGCGAAAAATGACGAATAGTAAAGAGAGCCCGCAGGCTGTAAGAGGAAATATTACTTGAAGATAGCTATAATTGACAGTCAGACGTTAGCTTGCGACTCCGGAGGTGAGAATAATGGTAGAAGCGACATTGGTTGACGTACTTGCGTTGGAAGCAACGGGAGACATCATCGATAGCCCAGATGGGCCCGTGGCATTCGACCGCCATGGCTGGCGGGCGGATAAGAAGAAGTTGTGAGCACCAAAGCTTAGGAACAGCATGCGCTCCTAACTCGGGACCAGTCGACAGACTGGTGGGATAAATGGGTAAAATCCAATCGAGTTATAAAAGATTTTTCAGCCTAGATACTCTGGTATTTGCTTCCCGGACTATAGATGCAGGGCAAGCCTAGCATCGCCAAGGTGATAGGCGGAGAGGAGGAAAAGAAAATGGCAGACGAACCAAAGGCCCGACGGGGGACTGAGGGACACTACCAAGAATGCCGGGAAGAAAAAGTTGGCAAACACCACATGCAGTCAAAACCAGCACGAGGGTCGGAAACAAAGAAGGAGAAACAAAGAAAAAAAGTAAAAGGAGAGAAAATGAAGGAGGGGAGATAGAAGAAGTAAAAGAGGAAGAAGGAAGCAGCAGCAGCAGCAAAGCGATGACGAGTGGGAACTCACGCCGGTTTGGCAACCTAACAAAAAGTAAGCTAAGGCGGGAACTCACTTTGGTTTAGTTCGGGTGGACTCCTCGTCGCCTTCTGTCCTAGTTCTCGCATCCACCGCCCGCAGCCAGAAGGATTCCAGACCTTCCCCCGGCGGAGCTCAACGGGTTACTACGCTGGAGTCAATTCTTATTATTCCTCTCGATCCATTGGTCTTCTGTGCCGGTTAGCGAGAAGTTTGAAGATGACTCGTGCTTATCGTCCCTGATTACCCTGAGTCACCTCCCCATTCCATTACTGATACTAAAGGTCTACTTCGGAGCCTAGTGTATCTCGGAGACACTCTCCCTGCACTAACAAACAGTCCGGTTCAATTCTCACGCTTGGCTCATCAACCCTCCCCTCATGACCCTCGATCTGCTACCTACACGGTCGACAGGCATCCTTCGATCTTCTACCCGTCACCATTATACTGAGGAATCGATCTAACCACGAGATGCGTGGAGTTGGCGTCTTTATCGTGAAGGAGTGTCACAGAACAGGGCCCTTCTTCCCTTGGTGGGAGATCCGTCCCACCCCAAGCCCACGTTGCGGAGACAGGGTCGGGGTTGCATTCTAATGACTGGACAATCACTGCGTATGTAGTATATGCTTCTAAGGATGGAAGGGTGACTTGACGTGCCAAAGTATCTCTTCGCAACAATCCCAGAACCCAATCAGGCTTGTATGCCAACCTGCAGAAAATGGCTTATCCGCATGACCAACGCCATCCAGGCCTTCCACCTCGCGTTCGAGTCCCTGTCAGTGACTCAATGAAGGAGAGAGGGGTCCAAGAAACATCCAGATGTACGCCCTAGGGCGTCTGAGAGAGTCCGTGCATCCTGCATGCCCCTTGCCCGTCACACCGACTCAACTTCAAGCAAGTCAACCCTTTGTTGCCATCTAACGGACTAATTCGTCATCCTCCTGCCTATGAGCTTTGAAGATTCCGATGAGTCAGATGTCAAACTGTCGGAGAAGAAGCGGTCGCAGTCTTTGATCACTTGACGGTCTTGCTTTTCATTAGTCCGACGCTGGAGCCTGTGAGACAATGAGCCAATTTAGTCGCCCAATGCGCGATAACGCCCGCTAAAGTGTGTCTGGCTGGCCGGCCTATTTCAGATGCGGGTATCCCGAGATAAGGACGCAAGGCAGCTAAACCGCGTAGAGTTTGAATTGGTCAGCAAAGGAAAAAAAGTCGCAGTGTGTCTCAACAACGGCCGAAACAATCCTTCTGTTGCAGAAGTGGTTGGTGCTTGCGATAGGATCTCCCTTGTCTTATCGGATTAAACTTCGTTGCTCTAATATCGTAAGTTATTATAACGGTTGGAGCCGACAAACAGCACTCCATGCTGAATGGGGCAAGAGTTTCAACGGCATGAACTATTCTCATTCTATTGAAAGGGGATTCCCCACTTTGCTGGGTTCTTTCCCCCCACTGTCGGCTACGCGGGACAAGAAAAGAATAATGAACAATCCTGTGGAAGAACAATGGCCCTCTGGCTTCTTTCGCCCTGGTCCTTGTTTATCTTAAGATTTCCCCAGACAACTACCATAGATCGACAAGTACAATGACAAGTATTGATTAATTAACCCAAGGAAGATTCAGATTCTGCTGCAAAATGCTTTCTTTCGGAACGCCACCCCGGGCCCTTCCGCTGCGCGTGGATGCCATGGATTGCCACAGCGGGACTAGTGTGTGATCATCAACCACTTTTAAACCCGTTGATCTCGTCCTGATCCAGCGCCTATCCAGCCCTGATCACTTCGACTTCAAGAGGGGTACAAGAGGAAAGGAAAACTGATACCAGTTATCTCGCCTGCCGAGTCAATTATCGTCCCTTTGGGCCTCCAGTCTAGCCACCATCACTGCTCAACGAGGGCACGCGATCGTTCGCCCCTGTTAGATCATCACCATGGCCGAACGCATTTTGATGAACGAATATAAGACACTATCGCAAGAGCCCTGGGTAAATATCGATGTATGTATATATTCTCAAATACCACTCTACTTTTGGTCATACGTCGAAGTTCCATCGCATCATGTGTCCCATCGCAGACCACACTCAAGTCACACCACGAATGCTGACCGATATCCCTTCCAGGTTGACGAGCAGAATCTCCTACACTGGACGATCGGGTTAATCGTTCTAAACCCGGATTCTTTATACTATGGCGGCTACTTCAAAGCGATCATGAAATTCCCGAGTAACTACCCTTACTCCCCACCAGGTGAGTTCACGAACGTCCCTCCCGATACAACACGTCCGCCCCCTCCATCACACCACCCCACCCCTTTTTTCCCACCCTGGAAATGTGGCAACAATGCAGAAAGGCAGAACAGCATAACTGACATATAATCTCAATCTCCAGAATTTCGTTTTGTCCGCCCCCTCTACCACCCGAACATCTACAAAGACGGCAAGCTCTGCATATCCATTCTCCACGCCCCAGGCGAGGATGAAATGTCCGGCGAATTAGCCTCAGAGCGATGGTCACCAGCCCAACGAGTCGAATCCGTGCTCATCTCCATCCTCTCCCTCCTCGACGACGCCGAGATCTCCTCCCCCGCCAACGTCGACGCCTCCGTCATGCTACGCAAGAGCCCCGACGAATACAAATCGATCGTGAAAAAACACGTGGAGGAGTCGAAGAACGACATTCCCGAGGGATTTGTCATGCCCACCCACGAATCCACCATATCAGTCTCTAAACCCGTGGAGAAGGACGACTCCGACTTCTGGGCTGAGAGCGATGTGGACGACGACGTCTTCGGCGGTAGCGACTCCGACGAGGACCTTGATGTTTATGACGACGACGAAGATCAGGATTCCGGCAGTGACGAGGAGGAAGAAGAAGACGAACACAAGGCTACTTGATTTATTCAACCTATCAAGTATAAAACCAAAGCTGTCGCCACCTCTCTCTTACTACCTATATATTTGGCGCTTGGAGTTACTACTACTTACTACTTACATAGTTTCCCCCCTTTTTTTTATATTTCATCGTGGCATAGCGCAGGCGCGGCATTAAGAGGTGGTATACAGCCCAAACAATCAATTTGAGATCATCCCTCTATTTATCTATATTAGCATGCGTTGGAGGTTCTTTGTATGCTTTCACTACTATCATCACATATCTGTCTATTTTACATAAGAAGTCGTTATAGATCTCTTTATTATTCTTTAGCTCCCTGAAAAAATGTATGTACTGCTGTAGCTATTCATAGGAGTACTTCGGCATAGCTCGTTACGGTATGACCCCGTAGCGTGATAAATGATGTCATTAGTTGCTTGTCATGGAATTGATTGCATCTCCAATAAGAGATACAAGAGATAAGAGTAGATGGATATGGGTTGGAGATCAGCGTTTCCTAGGGATTAGCTCCTTTGTAGATGACTATATCCACATACCGCAAGTAATTTCATACATTACGATATGCCGTAATAGGGGTCAGACTGATGTCTACTCCCTCACCTTTCTCTTCTACTAAGCCTTTTTCAGATCTCTTAGATAACCCAGTGAGATTGTCAGTCTGTTATAGAGCCAGAACATTCTAAGTGAGGTAACAAAACCTTCTTTGCGGACATGTATACTACCATAAAAATGAACCAAACAGATAAGCAGGGGCGGAGTGATACAGCCGATACAGTCAATGCATCGGCGTCTTCGAGACCAGACACAATAAAAAGAGACCAGCGCCAAAATGTCCGATCAACCATCCCATACCTCAAAAAAACCAAAGTCTTCCGATCTACGTCTGGAAAGCACGAGTTCTGATCTATGCGACAACGGCATCCTGAATCTCGCTGTAGATGGCACCAAGCTCCTCGGTGAGCAGCTCTTCGGCCTTGTGAACCAGACCCTCAATGCGGTCCTCGATGCGGTTCTTGGCAGAAGAGACCTTGTAGCCACCGCTGCCAACAATGTCGGTGTAGTTCTCGGAACCACCACCGTTCCAGGCAAGGAGCTGAAATTCCAAGTTAGCTTGTTTCTCTCATAATTATCAACAGCGGCAGGACTTACGTTGGGGGTGTTGGAGGGAATGTCAGTAAGAGCACCCTCGGTGGCAATAGCGATGATGTCCTTCTTCAGCTTAGCAGGAGTAAGCTCCTCGACAGCGAAGGCAGAGTCCGAGGAGGGCTGGAGGGAGACAAAGTAGGCAAGCAGGCCAGCAATGTGAGGAGAGGCCATGGAAGTGCCAGAGATGATGTTGGTGGCGTAGTTGCTGCCAATCCAGGTGGACAGGATGTTGAGACCAGGAGCGAAGATGTCAGTGCACTCTCCGTAGTTGGAGAAGTACGCACGCTCATCAGAAAGAGTCGAGGCACCGACGGTGATGGCCTTCTCAGCAGCAGCAGGGGAGTAGTTGCAAGCATCAGCGTTGTCATTACCCGCAGCAACGGCGAAGTGAAGACCAGCCTCAACACCAGCGTTAACAGCATCCTCGAGGGTCTTGGACTTGCCACCACCGAGACTCATGTTGGCAACGCTGCCCTTGAATCCCTTGACCTTGCCGTTCTTGGCATCCTTGGCCTTCTTAATGTGAGCCTGGACGGCATACTCAACACCAGAAACGACATCGGACATGGTACCAGAGCCGCTCGACCGGAGGACCTTGACGGCATAGAGGTTGGCCTTCTTGGCAACACCATACTTCTTACCAGCCATGGTTCCGGAGCAGTGAGTTCCGTGACCATTGCCATCGAGATCCTCGTCATTGGTAGGGATTGTCTTGCCCCAAGTGGCACGGCCCTCAAAGTCAACGTGGTCAACGTTGATACCAGTGTCAATGGTGTAGGCGTCAACACCCTCACCACCCTCGGAGGCATAGAGGTACTTGTTGAAGTTGCCGAAGGTCAGGCTATCACGGTGAGAGATACGAGCCAGACCCCAGGGGGCGTTCTTTTCGGTGGCCCCTTCCATAGTGTGAACTTCAGAGTCCCGCTCGATGTAGTCGACCTACATTGACCGAGGTTAGCAGCTTATCTTCTTAAGAGATAACGAAGTATGCTTAGATAGGGGTAACTCACATCGGGGTGTCTGCGGACTTGCTCGATGACATCTTCGTGGAAGTGACCAGAGTAACCGATCAGAGAACCAGCAATGTCAAAGGTGTTCTTGAGACCCAGGTAGGCTTCGTCACCTAGGCCGAAGAGCGACCGCTTCTTCAGCTCAGTCCGCTCGCTCTGAGAGTCATGGATGTCCTGCACCCAGCTGTGGTGAGCCGAAGCCAGCTCGGAAGTGACGTGCTTCTTGAAAACGACGATGTAGGAGTCGGGAACCTCCCTCGCGTTGGTGGCAGACAAGATGGGGGCAGCTTCATTATGGATGGAGTCAACGAAGACGGGCGACGCAGCCGTCAGCAACGGGAGGAGGGAAAGGCCGAGGATGCCCTTCATGATGGATAGCTTTAGAATGAAACCCACAGCAGCCCGGTGAAAAAAGGAGGGTGAGTAGGGAGTGTACAAGAGATTGAAAGGGAGTGAGAGATGAGAAAGATGGAAATAGGCAAGATAAAGATGGAGGAGAGAGGGAGAGGGAGAGAAGAAGGGGAGGTTGGAGATGAAGAGGAGAGGAGGACAGATGGATGGCGGACGGTATTCAGCAAGAGGCAAGGGCAGCAGGTGATGATGCAACCGGCATACGGTAATTTACGCCATACGCCCGGATGACACAGCAGAATCACTGGTTGTCGATCGTCCCCGATTAGCGCGGTCGGAGAAACTGGGACCTGGGGTAGACTCGACAGTCCACCGACAAGGAAAGCTGTGTGAATGGATCCATGTTGGCGCCATGTACCCATATTCGGGTCTCTCTCTCTCTTCCCCCCTTGGCAGTTTGCCCCCCCCCCCCCCAACTTCCCCTCCCTGTTGGACTGACAGATTGTAGCGTGTTCCCGGAAGTTGAGTACCTGAGACCCGAGAACCATTTGCTACCACTACTTCACAGTATGCGGGCAATACTACCTACGAAAAACGAATACAGTTTTCTATGTCACTACGTAAGCAGGACACTACAAGGTACCCGCAGACGATAAGGGACCGGATCCTGCTCCAAAATAATGAGGCGACTAGGGCGCAGCCTGCATTTCCTGCGGTATGGCAGTTGTAAAATGTTCCTTATAAAGCAAGATCGTGGCGGTGACTCAATGTACCTAGCAAACTAACTGACTAGTTCGTTAGTCAAAGGAGTAGGGCGTTTCCCAATGGAGGGAGTGCGTAGCTATAGGTCCCTAAGCATCTCTCTTCATGTAACTAGCCATGCTACTTACCGCATGTCATGGCAACCCGGTCTTTGAAGACGGGAGAAGAGCTTCCCGCATCCTCCGCAACTAGCATGGGATAGCTCTTTTTTTTTTTTTGCGAATCAAATGACCCTGCATACATGTATAGGAGCTCCCCTTTCGATGTCTGACTGACTGTACTGCAGGTACCTGGTATGTTAAACCTGCCACTGAGCAGCAGCGTGGTCGGTCCCCAGGCAACGCCGAGTCGCGTGCTCAAGCCAACCATGGGTTTGCTCGGCTGACTCCTCCTGAACCAGGAAAGATCGGTTGCGTAGGTGGTTAGGTAAGGCCTAGGGACGGTAACTGATACCAGATATTACTGCCCGCCCAAATACATTACGGCTCCTTTCAAGGTCAGAGCTCCGTTAGATAAGGCGCCCTCTTATCAAGGCAGCCATCGGGCCAATCATGCTCCTTCATCCGATGATCGTCTTTGTCGCCTGGCGCTTACCGAGGTTGGCTTAGAAGCACTCCATGGGAGTGATGGAGAAGACCCGGTTAAACTACCTAATTTTATGGAACTTCTACACGCCACTTTGTCTGTAGATGTGAAGAAATGTCTGGGTTTAACGCCGATCATCAACTCTATATCAACAGGCGGTGTCAGGCTTACGACGTTCAGTGGCTTGCTCACTTCGGTCTGACTTCTTTTCCTTGTAGTGGATGTTGGATATAGACGTGACTTGGAAGACACATCGCCCAGCTTGGTAGGTAAGTAGACCTTGGACCTGCGATATCGGCCTCTCCGGTGGAAGTCTTGGGCTTACTGTGGGTTTGTAGTCTTTGTCATACATGTGAAGGTTCAAGTGGCATTGCTTCAGGTCTCATTTCGAGAACAACAGCATTCTTCGGTCCTGGAAAAAGTCAATAACCATGGAAAATCTCGGACCATTCTTGTTCATATGAAGAGTCGGCATTTGCGCCACAAGAAACACCGCGCGGCATTTGAATCCACGGCTTGAATTTTCACGCCGAGGAAGAAGGGCAGCAAATGGATGTATCCGACTGCAAGAGCGATCTCGGTGTACTCCGTAGGCATTGTGTTGATCCCAAGGTTATCAGAGTGGCGTTGGCTCATGCATCTGGCGAGCTCGCAGTTCAGCGGTCAGGTTGGATGTGATTGAATATCCTTTGACCGTTCTCGATATGAGACAAAGAGTGGTCAAGTTCTTTCGTGTAGGCTCTTCCAACCGCACAATATCGTCAGGAAGCTTTCAAGCCGCCTTGTTTTTTCCGTTGTTCTTAATGTGATTGTTGCTTTTGTTGCTTGTGTGCGTCATATTGCCACAAGAACAACCATAGTTTCAGACTTGAAGCAGATTGGCTGAAATTCAATCTGGTCGTAGATCAGTTGTGCCCACGTTTAGCTTGATCGAGTGATGGACAATGAGGTTGGAACCCTGCTATCTAGTCCTCTGAGTGTGGGTTATGGTTAATGCTGTTGCTTAGGGGAAGTTGTTGTAGCTTCTGTCCCAGTTCTCAGTATTTGCCGCAAATTCTGCTGGTATACAAGAACTGATATCGTACAGCTGTGGGTGTAGAATTGATTGACAACTGGTGTGTCATGATCGCTAAGATCGAAGTTCCTTATGTTCTTTTGCTCGCTCTATACGGAATGAGCACGTGGCAGTCAAATCAAGCTATGTAGATGCACAGAAATTGAGACAGTCGATTCTTGAAGTGTCAATGCAATCGTCTTAACTACCCAATATGTGTAGTTAGATAGCTTCAATGATACAGGACGGTATTCTTGTCTTCCAAAGGTGTGGTGCGGAGGTATCAGTAACATATAGAGCTCTGAGTACGCGCGCTTAGACTTCTTCACGTTACTAGTATACTGTTAGTACTTGATAGACAGATAGTATACTAACTACACTGCTACTAGCACTCCTGTGAGAATAACCCTTCCTCCACGACTATCATGTGCCATGGCTGATATAATAATAGAACATATATCTATACTAGTGCCTATTCGAGAGAGCAATGCAAAACCGAGTAGTACTATTAGTTGCTCTGCCAGCTATGGATTGGTGAATAACTTAATTCAGAGGTCAGTGTTTCAGCCTAGTACTAGTGAGCTGTAGTATTTGTCTACTAAGTTAGGAGTATCTAGGTATCAGTTCCGAACATCATACTGGGCAGTGAATTCACAACTAACGCTGGTACTTACTTCAATGAACTTTTCCATGTGAGAGGTTGGGAAATGTTGGCTTGTCAGTATATATATTATATAAAACGCTGCGGGTAACTTTCAGTTGAGCTAACATTTCGCCTCAAGAGTATCAAATCCGGACAAACAGTGAAGATACATGGTGACGAGTACAATTGCCCTGTTCTAAAAGCAGTCCAATTGGACTACGAAATAACTTCAAAGCTATAAGAAAAGCCAAATTCTACTTAAGCACTCCTGGCACCAATTCTTGTGGGGCTAAGACATGACAATGGCCCGGCCCAGCCGAAGAGCGAAGACAGGCTAATCGACCGGCCGCTGCCTTCCGGTCGGGAAGAGGGAGCGAGAAAGTTAGAGCAGCACTGCCCACTTGCCCAGGACAGGACAGCTGAGCTGAGAGCCTGAGAAGGGCCATTCCGTCACTGTCCAATTGCACTCGGCGGGAAAAGCAAAGTCGCGCCCGTCGACTCAGTCAGACGGAACAAACTGACTCCCCCGAAACAATCCCGTACCCTCCCCCCCGCTAACGATGGTTTGGTACCACCGCCGCCAGTGACGTTGGCCGTAGCACTATCTCATCGGACTCGAAACATTCTTTTTCCTCAAGTGCGGAAAGAGCTCGACGTGCGGCTTAGGACTCCGTGCGTCTTCTAAGAATCACCTAGCCTTTATGGTGGATCTTGACTGGGACTCTCGCTCCTTCAAACCCTCGCCGACACACAATTGCTGATCCTTTGGAGTGCGCTATCCTTGCTTCCCCTCCTACTCCTCCTCCTCCTCTCCTCCCACTTTGGCGGGTTCATGTCAGAACAACTGTGCGTGGATTGATTCCGTCCGCTAAAGCTCCCCAACCATCACAACTACCAATGCAGACCGTCTCCATTATTACGCCAAGTGCAGGTTCATGGTGTCTGATGGTCGCTTGCCGTCAGATAGGTAGCCGGGGATAAGACTCAGCGGCGCGATGAACCAGCCCACCTCCCTTCGCTCGCCGTCCCCTTCTTCGTCGATTGATCAGCCCGCCGTTGAACTGACCCCCGTCGTTGAGAAGCTCAAGGTCATCTGCGGCGAACATGACATCGACCCCTCACTAGCCGCGACAGCAACCGAATGCCTACTCCGGCTTCGTCATACCTTTATCGACAGTGACCATCCTCGCGAAGCGAAAGAGGACTTTCGACATCTACATGGCTTTCAGACGCTGCTGGATCTGCTTCAGAAAGTCACAGAATGCTATAGCCCGGATCGGTTAGCGAAGGAAGAGAGAAAATGTCTCCTGGCCCTGTTTAAGGATACATTGGCGGTTCTGGCAGAGGCGTTAAAGGATCATCATGGTAATAAGAGATATTTTGCGGCTCGGGTACCTGGAGGAGGGAGTGCGGCTCTAGAGGAAGCTCTTGCACTCCTGGCCCAAAAGGTGGACTCCGTGCAGGGAGACATAGAACAATTCTATGGTGGGATTCTGGCAGCGATCCTTTGCCAGGAAACCGTTGCCAGTATATTCACAACATTGGACTCCAGATTTCGATCGGCTCCAGTGCTACTTCCCAGTGACCTCAAGGCGGAGGTTGATCGATGCGTAGGAACGTCAGAGACCATCGAAGTATCGGATATCTTGGGGCCTTTCATTCGAGTATGGTTGTCCCGGACTTCATCTTCGTCGTCAGAACACCGTCTCCTTCGGTTAGCTGTACCGGCATGTCTCTGTCAACTTGCCCTGCATTCCCAGAGAAACATCACCATAATGCATGCTACAGGTGTGTTATCGTGGATCCTTCCACTTCTGGTCAGCGATGAGCGTCTGGAACAGGAAAAGCTATTATACCGGGAGCTCGCGCGGCTGCTTTGTACCCAGGGGATAAGCAATCTGGAGGACGCAGTTTTCCTCTACCAAAAAGCCCACAGTTGCCCAAAGGTCTCGCGCTTGCTGGTTGATGTTCTGAAGGCCTCTAAAGAACCCGCATCCATACAATTCGATCTCTCCCTGCATGGGTACTGCTCCTTGGAATTTTCTACTCTGGGGCGCTCGTTCCCCCCCGCAACTTCCTCTGGGTACACACTTTCAGTATGGGCGCGCTTCGACCAATTTGATTCAAACACACATACAACAATATTTGGGGCTTTTGACCCTAGCCAGACATGTTTCCTACTTGCATATCTTGAGAAAGATACCCGGAACTTCATATTGCAGACCTCGATACGGGGGTCGCGCCCCAGTGTCCGATTTAAATCCATCGTTTTCGAAACTGGTCGATGGTATCATATCTGTGTTGTCCACAAGAAGCCCAGACCGCCGTCGTATTCCCGCGCCTCTTTGTTCATAGATGGCGAGTTTGTCGAGCAGCTGAAGATAGAATATCCGTGTATGCCTGCTGCAATTGCTCCCAACCGATCTGCTAGGGTCCAAGCATTTTTTGGCACCCCACAGGACCTGGCTATGAGGCTGGGCAAGGATGTGTCTATGTCTCGTTGGTCATTGGCCAGTGCAATCCTTTTCGAGGAAGCTTATAGCGATGACATGGTTGCCGTCTTTTACAACCTCGGGCCCCGCTATCATGGCAACTGTCAAGACTGCCTTGGCTCTTTCCAGACATACAAGGCTTCCGCGGCTCTGAACTTGCGCAATGAACATTTACACCCCGGTAAAGAAGAGCAGTCGGATATCGTTGTTGTTATCCGGCGGAAAGCAAGTACCCTTATCCGCGAGGCTTCCATATTGCTGAACGTTTCGCCTCTCGCAGTGCTAGACGACGACGACAGTAATAACGTGGACGAGTCCCGGCTGATAAAGTCCTTATCAAAGCAAGCCGCTAAGAATCTGCATCAACTAACCAAGTCCGGAGGGAATGCGATAGTAGTCAATGGAGCTACGCCTGCTATCAATGACGCACTGACTCAGGCACACGGCATTGGGGTCTTGACAGGTGACCCAGTGGTTGCGGTACCACGCTCTCTGGATGATGCAGGTTGGCGTATTGGGGGGTGTGCGGCTGTGCATCTGAGCTTGCTCCATGCAGCGGACACTGGGGAGTCGACCTTGCTAGCGGTCGAGGCATTGTACGAGGCAGTGCAAGACAACTGGAGGAATAGCGAGGCAATGGAAAAGGATAATGGATACGGAATCCTTGCGGTTTTGTTGCGCGAAAAGCTTGGTTTGCCGTCGGGAGCTGCTCCCACAACGTCGAAGACGCCGAGCGTTTGTGCCAGCTGCGAGGAACGGTCTGCATTAGCTCTGGCACTTCTCCGCTTGACGTTGAAATTTGTTGGGTACGACTTCGAGCAGCCTAACCGCTCCATTATTACAAATCCGTTGGCGTACAGGGTCCTACTCGTCGACCTAGAAGTATGGAGAGCTGGTGAGGCAGCTCTCCTCGAGTTGTATTACTCTCAGTTTTGTATATTTGCCAGTGAAAGTAAATTTCGCCGGTTCAATGCAAAGCGACTTGCTCGCATGCGTGAGTCTTCCGGAACAATCTCCTTACGACTCGGTTATGCTGATAATCAATAGGCGTCAACAAGAAGTTACTCGAGGCCCTCAAGGTAGAGGAGTGTACCCCCGAAGCCTTGCGTCTATACACTGCCGCTTTTGGGTCCCTCATGGAGAGCAGCTTGTCGGCGGATTTGCTTCGATCATTATCTCTCTTTATCACCTACGCTCTCCATAAGCCGAAGGAGTCAAGTAAGCTACAGAAGAAGAAGAGCATGAGATTCAACGCAGGCATGCGGCAGCGAGCGACTTCTGACTCGAAAGCTAAGTACGTGTCGAGCACTGTGATTGCCACGGAAATGCTTCGCATGTATTGTTCGTTACTCTGCAATGCACATGATCTTGGCCCCATAAAGAAGTTCGCCAAGGCTGTGACTAATAA